AACAGTGGTGCGCATCCGCCTTTTATCCTTAGTCGATGAGAATTCCTTATTTTCATCTTGGCACTGCTCTCAGTATTCCAGTTCTTCTCCTACTCTTCAATCCCAGTGGGCAGCCAAAAGACAGCAACCAAAGCCGCCGCATGAGAGTGTGCGGTTGATGGTCTTAAAAACTGAAAAAAGTGCATGACAGATAGTGGCTGTGCCTACGCATCCCCGAGAAAAACGATTCAGCATACGATTACAAAAAGGAGAACTGAATGAAGGATGAAAATTTACTATCTATGCCAGAGGGAGTCCATTGATAACGTAGTGTGCAAACGTTTATTCTTGAGCTTCGCTAAATGAAACGGCTCTGTTTCTCCCATGAGCGGTGAACTTTGAGAATGTATTCTGAAACGATGCAGACTATATCCTAGTCTGAATTCAGATTTGCAAGGTACAATTGATGGATTTGCCTACGAATAGCTTGTTTAATCAAAGGCAGGACCGTTCTTAAAACAAAAACAAAAATTGTTACTTGGACTATTATGGTGCTTCTACTATTATTTATGGTGGATACATGAAATATCTACACCACATGAACAATTATTCATCATCCATCAAAACAATTCGAGGAGAACGCAGATGGATGGTATAAAAGTGGGCCGAATCTAACAGACAAACGATACAGAATTTACACAAACTGCGGAATTCAAAGTAATCAAACTTACCCTCTTTGGTTTTTAAAGGTTTCCTTATTATTACACGCCAGCGAAAGACTAGGTTCACTGTTAGCTTTTTTGATCATTTTTTTACCAGTAAGTTGACACAGTGCCACACAAACATGACACGCAACCTGACACAACCTCGGATCTTCAAAATTCCTCAAGGAAGCGGCAGCTTTGGTAGTCTCACCGTCATGATCCGCGTATGGAGTTGAAATGAGTTCGGTGGTGGTTGCTACTGAATTCATAGAAATTACCAAGTGCGATCCTGTATGGGCTGAAAAATAAAAAAGAACGACGTGAGTAACAACATATGGAAACAGAACGAATAACAAACACGACAGTCTGTAACGTAAAATGTACAAAGAGCGAACCTGTAATACACTGAAGTTTCATGTTGATAACCGTCAATAATTGACCTTATAAGAACGGCGTAAAATCATGCAACTTAGTGTTTTTCTCTTGGCCAGACCGAAGGACCATGAAGACGGATGCATAACATAGTTAAAAGTAAAGCTTCCTAATAAGAACTGATCCGTTTTAAGGACAGGTCGCAGCAAGTTGTCTAACACAGTTGCCTTAATGGATTTCAGGCCTTGGGGCTCTTTTTGAATCTTTGTATCTGTGGGTGGTTTTGTGGATAGGGACCACGGAGCATTCAATGGGGAACAGTGCTGGAAATTGTTTGAACTGTGTTCCGAGATTCTGCAAAAATAGCAAATTTGAGCGCCTTCGAACTCAGATTGTTTAACTGACGTATTTTACAACCTATTGGCACGAATGCGTTGAAACAGTAACTGGGTTCCCGGGCCTAGCAAATGGTTTAATCTCCTTTGGACATTGAGTAGCAGCAAGAAGCCTGACATAGATAGCGCTGTCTTACAGGTTGGTCGGTTAGCCTATAACCGTGTTAACCTGTTGAGTGCATTACGTCTCGCATCCTCAACTAGTGATATTTTACGCTCCTCCGTAAGAGTTGACCGTGTGACTGACTCGTTTTGATAATTGACAAGCACAGATGATTCGGAAAGTTTGAAAATGACTAGTTATTTGCATCTTTTTTGTGTAGC